AAATATTAAATTACAAATTATTTAAAGAAAATACCAAATTGGTGTGACTTAACGTGACCTGGTACAACTGCCATCATTGATAACGTTCACCAACACTATCTATCTACTTAGACGAAAACAGAACGGTAATGAATTTGAGTTCATTATCGACAGCTAAAAATTAATTCAAAACGACATTAATGACACAAATAAATCTACCGGCAGAGACAAGCGTGATTCCGAATAAAACAGGAATTTGAGATCTAGCAAAAAGCTTTCACTGAATAACTAAAGGTGTTAAACGAATATTCAAAGCCATGTAATTGACTATCATGGGGTCAATCATTAAATAGCATTTAATAATAGTAATAAGAGAAGGAATTCACTTGAAACATAATAATTAAAGCATTCAAAATGTTAATTTTATTTAAAAAAGTGATGTAATACATAATTACAAACTAATGAATTAGATGCAGCATTGACATTATATTTAAATATATACTGCAATAAAAAAATAATTACCTAGTAGTAGTAGTAGTAGTATCCAGTCAGTATTTATGTAATAATATTTTTATCACTATTTCATAAGTTTGCCATTTTAAATTAATTGAATGACGATGCTTCACCTATTATTTATCGATCTATTCGCATGGGTGGTTGTTAAAAATATGTAATTCAACTAATTTAATCAATAATAATATAGTACACTGCTAATTGGTTACTTAGTTCATTGCTAGTCGATCCTTGATGAATAACTGTACTGATCACATTAAACTATCTAGTGTACAATAACACAATTTTATGAACTACGTTATTAAATTTATTCGACACTTATATTATTACTGTTTTATTTTAGGAATTTAATGTATAAATTAGTTTATTTCATTCATTTTTATTTGGTTGCTGATTTTACTATTCAGAACTCGATTAAACTACTTTAACAAGTAGGTGCAGAGAACGTGAGATAAATAACTTAATCATCATCATCGTAGGGTTGTTATATCAAAGATTAAGTACACAAAGTATACGTACTTCCAATTCTTCCTATACGCCTAATCTTCGGGTATATGCCTATAGTAATCTAATATAGGGCTTCTTCTGCCGCTCTTCGCTCTTGTTTTTGCTTAGAATAAGTATGTCTTTAATTAACCTTCGTGTCTTATCTCTCCTTTTCCCTATTGACTTCCATAGCCCTTTGTTCTCTACAAGAAGTAGTTTCTTTTTAGTAAATGCTTGACCCTTTGGTACTCTCTCCTTTATTGCTTTATGTCTTTACCCAGAGGCGCCTTAAATGTCGAGAACTCCCTAAGCTAGTACCTCGTAGACGCCCCTCTGGCGGTCATATATTTTGCAAAATTATTTTTGGAAGCAGATACTTTCTTATTTTTTAGTTTAAAAACTTCCGCGCGCGCCCCTTCCTAACCTTGCGCCCCAGGCATGTGCCTAGTTTGCCTTATGGATAATCCGCCACTGTCTTTACCTCCTTTTCCATCAAGAATTTCTAGAAATCAAAAGTTAGCGACTTATTTTTCTACTTTTTATCTGCAATTGTTATATTAGCGCTCCTTTTACCTCTCTTACGAACCTACCAATATTTTGTCATATTATTATGTATTTGCATTAAGATTGCCATTCATTTTCTCGATCCTTGTTGTAATATAGAGCAATACAGAATATATGGTGTATCACTAAATAATATACGAGGGTGGATTGATAAGTTTTCGGCCTAACCAAGAGATGACGCCACTAGGCCTACCTTGAGGTGACATTCTATAGTACCATCCTTGGATAGCTTGTAGCTATAGTTTCAGCCCGATCTCCTTGCTAGTGTAGGTTTGACAGCACGCTGAACAAGACGCCTCTGTGGTTTTCGTAAAAATGGAAAAGCAGGAAAATC